CATGGATAGAAGTTAGGGGTCCTTGAGCTCTGAGAATTGGGATCCAGCACAGACTGGGTCATCAGGCCCCGCTATCCAGGAGGCCGCAGGCAAAGCCCAGGGCGCTGGGCCTGGCTGGCAGTGGCTCGGGCGGCCTGTGCTGTGCGTAGCCGAGTCTTGGGGTTTGAGCCCTTCTGCGTGCTTTTCCCGCCTGCACCCGGGCTGTACTCACCCCGCTGCTGGGCCGCTGAGCCGTGGCCTGGCGTCGACCGGGCAGAGCTTCTCGGTCTTTGTCGCGGATGTGCGGCTCCCGGCTGCCCTGGGTGTTATATAGGCCACGGGGTATCCTGGCCCCGGGGCTGCCTGATTGCTTCACATTCCTGGGCCTGGGATTCCTTTAGGGGAGGCTGGCGGTGAAGGAGGACGTGCGGATGGACACAGGCAGACCGGATGCGGGGTGACGCCAGGGGTGGATGCTGCCCTTTGGACAAGAGCGGTGGCATCATTAGCTGGGAGCTGTGGACGCAGCCCCTCAAGTGCCTGGGCGGAAGCGTGTCCCCCCCCCCGCAGTGTGGGCGCCCCCCCCCCAGAGCAGACTCCTCGCCATCCACACCTGCTGCCCGAGGGTCTCACAGGTCCCCCTTTTTCGATGTCCTGCCTGCTCTGCAGCTTTAGGGCAGGCCAAGGTCCCCCCACCCCCCACCCCGCTTCTAGGGGGATGGGGGCGGGGCCTCACAGGCCTGTGGTCCCAGTGCTCCCCCAAACCCGCAGCTCGGGTTTGTCAAGGGTCAAAGGGCGCCCAGCACAGTGGCAGCAGGGGGGCTTCCCAGTAACCCCCCCCCCCGCCCCCGTCCCCGTCCCCTTTGAGTCCGGGTGTCTGTACCCGAGGGGCTGGGTGACCTCCAGGCCACTTTGGGCCAAGCTGGGGTCCCCGCTGGCAGCTCCGAGGCGAGGGCTGGCGTCCGGGTGTGGGAGGAACAGCCAGGCGCCAGGAGTTCGTGGCCAGGCAAAGCGGGGACACTTGCTGAGTGGGAAGTGGCCTTCGGGAAGGGGCAGTTTTCTGGAAGGTTCCCTAGGAAGCCATCCTGCCTCATTTCTCCCGGTGGTGTCTTGGGAGGCCTCTGGGGCTGGACAGTCACACTGGCCAGGGCCCAGGCCCCGTCCGCCCGGGAAGACACGGGAAGACACGGAGCCTGCAAGCTGCAGCCGCCGCTGGGGCGTGGGCATTGAGAGGGCGATGGCAGGAGGGGGGCTGGCAAGGGGGCGTGGCCCTGCAGGGAGGCGGTGGCAGAGGCTATGGACCAGCCCAGGGGTCCGTCCCCCCGACCCCCCCGTCCCCCGCTTCAGCTCTGTGGCCCAACGTGAGCTGCCCCAGCCAGCAGGTCCCCAGGTCTGTTTGTGGGGGGCTCAGCCCTGGCAGGTGTGAGGTGTGAGGGCTCCCCACCAGCACCCCACAAGGGCCCCACCATCCTTCGAAAACACTGGAGTTTGTTAAATAACTCAGGACCTTGTTAGCCCGTAAGCCTCACATTGGTTTTATGTAGTCAGTAGAGACTATTCCTAATAAAGGGGCTACTGGGTCTTAATAAAGAAGTTTAAGTGGCACTAGTGCCCACGCCTGTAATCCCAGCTACTCAGGAGGCCGAGATGTGAGGATCGCAGTTCAAAGCCAGCCCAGGCAGGAAAGTCCATGAGACTCTTATCTCCAATGAACCACCCCAAAGCTGGAAGAGCTGTGGAATGATAGAGTGCTAGGCTGTGCACATAAGCTAAGGGACAGGCTCCAAGTTTTAAAAAAAGTACTGGCCTCCCCACAAAAAAGAAGAAAAAGAGCCTCCATGCTCCAGACCTCCAGTCCCAGCCTGAGAGGCCTGGAGCACAGGCAGCGCATTCCTGGGGCCACAGGTGAAGGCCAGGCCCAGGAGACGATAGCCAGGCAGCCTTGGCCATGACCCCCCCCCCAGGTCACAAGTTGCACTCCTATCTGTGGAGCTGGCCCCAATGAGTCAGACCAGACCAGTCACACACCTACTGAGCTGGTCTCCCAGGGGCAATCCTAGAAACCTGTGGCTCACCACCCCCTGCCCCCCCTCCTTCCCCCCTCCCCTCATCACGTGGCATGGGGTCAGGGTTAGAGGCAGAGGAGGCCAGGTCACAAGACTTTATTGGGTTCAGGAACGCATACATCACCAAGAGCATACAGCCACCACGTGTGATGTCTGCCCGCAGCAGTGAGTGCCACGCCGGCCCTCGGGGCTTCTCCCCCCCCCCCCCCCGGCCCCCCTCCACCACCCAGAGGCCAGAGGCAGGACCTTGCTTCTCTGGTTTGCAGTCTCAGAGCTGGGCCTCCGAGTCTGGGCCTTCACACACATGGAGATGGAGACAGACCAAGCAGGCAGCCAGCACTTGCTCAAAGCCTTGTGTCATCTCCCCAGCCCTGCTCCGCTGGTGCCCGGCAGCACCCGCCCCGCCAGGCCACGCCCCAGCCTCCCGCACGCCCCTGCCCTCCGTGCCTGGGCCGCGTCCCCTCTGTCCACATGTGGTGGCAGTCCGTGTTGGTGCTGCTGGCCAGCTCGCGGATCTCCGGCTGCACCCAGAGCTGCCCTGTGTGCCCAGTCCTCGTGGTGACCGTGGTGCCCAGGCTGCTGACGGCCTGGCTCTGACCAGCCAGCCGGAGGCCTCGTGGACGAAGGTGGGTGGTGGTGAGGGGCGTGGGGTGAGGCGGGCCTGGAGCTTCACTTCCGCCCCTATTCACACGTCTTCCTCTGAGCACGCGTGGGGGAGGGGCAGTCCGTTCCGTCCTTCACCCCCGGCTCCAGGCTTCCTTCTCAGAGGCGGGCCCCGGCCATGTCCACGGAGCCAGCCTGGGGTCCTCCCCGGCTCTGTGCTGCTCGCCAGGCAAGCAGACATCCCGGGCATCCCACAGCCCAGCCGTCAAGCCAGGTCCAGCAGGGGCGATGTTCGGGGGCCCAGGGCCCCTTGCAGACCCGGCCGCCGCCTTGGTCCCAGCAGGCTGTCCCTGCCTCTGTGTCCTGTGGTCACTCTCAAATCAGGTGAGGGTCACCTGCTGCTGTGTTCTGCGGCCAGGTCCAGCCCAGGAGGCCCCAGCGCCCCCCCCCCCCCCCCCCGCCATGTCTGCAAAGCAGCACCACACTACGGGAGTGTGCTTGATGACACAGCAGAAGCACGTGGGGCTGGCGGCAGGGCTCCCAAGATGAACTGGGTCCCACCTAGCTCTACCATGAGACTAGGGGAGCCCCCTGCCCCGCTCCCCTGGTTTTTAGAGAATGAGGAAAGGGGGGTCCTTTCATGGTGTGTGTGTGTGAGAGAGAGAGAGAGAGAGAGAGAGGGGGAGAGAGAGAGAGAGAGAGAGAGAGAGAGAGAGAGAGAGAGAGAGAGTGTACTGGGGCTTGAACTTTTGCTTGGCTTTTTTTGCTCAAGGCTGGTGCTCTACCATATGAGCCATGCTTCTACTTCTAGCTTTTTGCTGGAGGTAAGTCTCCAGAGGTAAGTCTCATGGATTGTCTACGTGGGTTGGCCTCAAACGTCAATCCTCAGATCTCAGCCTCCTGAGACTACAGATGTGAGCTATTAATGCCCAGCTCTTTGCACGTCTTGTTACATCATTTTGGTTCAGAGGAAGCTTCCAGTGTCAGCTCTGCTGCCCGCGTGCATGGCTGCGCTGTGAATGCCAGCTGCAGTGAGGGTCTTTGCACAGCGCCAGGGCCCTCTGGGCACACGTGGGCACTGGGAGGGGGGCGTGAATGGAGCCCCACAGCCTCACTTACTTGCCTCCTGTCACCCAGCCTCCTCCCCAGGAGTGCCCACGTGGGCAGCTTCCCAGCTTGGGGCTCCCCACGTGCTCAGGGAAGCACCCAGGCTTCACACTATAGCCCCCCCCGCAAGTGCCTGGGCCTCCGGTGGGCGGTCCCTGAGGTCTGTGGGGCTCACCTGCGGCTGGGACAGCTCAGCAGTGCGTGGACATGGAAAGGGCTCCACGCGGTATCCAGGAAGTGCTTGGGCCCCTGCCTCAGTCTCCCCCAGCCCCTTATGAGGCACTCCCCCCCCTCCTGCCACTCAGCCTTGACTGGCCCACGGTGACCAGCAGGGGGCAGCCTCCCCCACAGACAGCAGCCTCTAGGCTGGCCCGGCCTCCCTCCTGCTGGGCTTCTGGAAGTCCATCCTTGAGCGTGGGGGAGGGGGAGGGGTTCATGCGCTGACCCACAGCTGCCTCAGCTCTGGCAGGGAAAACCAAGACGTTGTCCAAGAGGCTGGGCCCAAGTCTGGGGGGCAGGCTCTGCCTTCACTGCCCCTCCCCGCCCCCCCAGGCTGGAGAGAGGAGGCCAGAGGAGAGGCAAGGCCGGAGGAGAGGTGAGGCCAGAGAGGCGAGGCCGGAGCCTGGCTTTGCAGGAGGGTTGGCTGGGGTCTCGTTGTGCAGGGTGCTCAGTCTTGGGGTGCAAGCTGCTGTGGGTGGCCTGCCCCACCTGGCCGTGGGGTGCAGGGCACAGGCAGCTGGCTGTGAGTCCACAATGCAGGGCCTGGGGGGGTCTCCAGGCACGAGGGGGGAGCATGCGCTGGGAAGGCCAGTGGGCCTCAAAAAACCTATAAGTCCCTTCTGACGGCCAGGGAGTTCTGCCCACCATGCCAGGTGCTGGCTCAGGCAAGTGGGGTGCTGCCTGGGGACCCCATCGAGAGCCAGGGCTGGAAGCCAGCCCTCTGTGGTCCCTGCTCGGTGACAGCAGCCCACGCAGGAGCCAAAGTCTGTGTGGGCAGAGTTTGGGGTCAGGCTGCCCGCTGGGCCTCAGCAGAGGTCAGCTGCCGCACAGGGGCCTGTGGGGGGCAGTGCGCACCCCACTTTACCAGGGGAATGAGTGTGGGTGCCAGCCTGGGCCCCCCACAGGAAGCCAGGTCAGAGGTGCATGGGGGCAGGGGAGGTGCGTGAGGGCCCGGGGTGTGGGCCGGGCGGGGGTTGGTGAGGTTGGGGGTCCAGGCGGGGCTGGCGGGGCTGGGCAGGTGCCTGTCTAGCGGCCCTCCCGGGCCGGCCGGATCTTCATCTCAGAGAACTTGAGCGAGTACTGCCAGCCGGTCCACGAGGACCACTCGATGCCGTCGGCGTAGGACGCGTGCGCGCCGCGCAGGTACTGCCCGTTCAGGTTGGACGTGTGGCAGTTGCGGTACCACCAGGCGCCGCGGTAGAAAGCGGCGCAGTTGTTTTCCGAGTGGTCGCTGTCCCGGTCCTTGGTGGTGAACCTCATGCCGCTGTGCTTCAGCAGGGAGTCGCCTAGGGGGGCAGGCGGGGCGGGTGTGGGCACAGGTGTGGGCACAGGTGTGCTGGGCGCCATGGACAGGAGGGGGTGGGCGCACCTGGGGTGATAGACAGGACAGGGTGGGTACCTGGAGTCCTGGACAGGCAGGTGTGGCCACACTTGGGGTGGTAGACAGGACAGGAAGGGGGGTGGGTGCGGGGCTACATGTGCGCCCAGGCCCCCCCCCCCCGGCCGTGGCTCATCTGCAGGGAGGCGCCCCTCTAGCTCCCCTCCTCTCCTCTCCTCCCGCAGTGGCGGGGCGGGGGGGGGGGGGCAGATGGGCTGTGCCGCACCCATCCTACCTGCCGTGCCGGAGTAATCGGCCACGGTGAGCGGGTACCCATCCTCCTCGGGGTCCACGGAGAACAAGCCCACGCCAAAACTCCCGTAGTGGGCGTAGGCTGTGCCGTTGTCGAAGTCCTCCAGCGCCACGTGCAGCTCGTAGGTGGCCTGCGTGCTCAGCGCGTGGAGCCTCTTGAGCCCTGGGGCGTGGGGGAGGGGGAGGGGGCGCAAGGAGCAACAAGAGCTGAGCTCGTGCACCGCGCGCCGCGCCGCTGCTGCCTTCTTCCTGCAGGCGGGGGCTGGAGGCAGAGCGGAGTTCTTCATGTCTGGTTTTCCGTGCTCAGGGGAGGCTGGTGGCTCACACCTGTAATCCTAGCTACTCTCATCTCCAGCTAACCAGAAAAACGCAGCGAGTGGAACTGTGCTCAAGTGGTAGCGCGCTGGCCTTGAAGGAAGGACTAAGGAACGATGCCCAGGCCCTGAGTTCAAGCAAGCCCCACTACTGGCACACACATGCACCTGCGTGTGCGCGTGCGCGCACACACACACACACACACACACACACACACTGGTTTGTGCTTTCCAAAATGCAGGGGTTTCTGAGCTGGCGGCAGGGGATCACAGGAGTCAGGAGGGCTCCGGGGTGAAAGGACCCCTACCCTTCCTGGCTTTCTCACACCCAGGCAGGGTCTGTTGAACTCTGAGCTTCTGCACCTGCTGTTCCCTCTGCCTGGGACACGTGTCCTGCTCCTCACCTGGTTACCTTCTGTTCATTTCCTGGTCTCACTGCCTTGGCTGCCTGGCTCCTCTCCAACCCAGCAACCCTCCATCCGTGTTCACCATGATAAGCTCCCTGTGGGGTCGCCACTCCAGACACTGAGTCCCTGTGACCCCGCAGCTGCGGAAGGCGTAGCAGATGCTCAATAAAAGCACCCTGGTGGATGGAAGGTGAGAGGCGGCACTCCAGTCCCCCGCTGTCCCCAGGGCCTGCTGTGGGCACACCGTCTCCCTCCTCCTCCCATCCCTCTCCCCAGCCCTCCCTCCTCCTCCCAGCCCTCCCTCCTCCTCCCATCCCTCTCCCCAGCCCTCCCTCCTCCTCCCGTCCCTCTCCCCAGCCCTCCCTCCTCCTCCCATCCCTCTCCCCAGCCCTCCCTCCTCCTCCCACCCCTCTCCCCAGCCCTCCCTCCTCCTCCCATCCCTCTCCCCAGCCCTCCCTCCTCTTCCCACCCCTCTCCCCAGCCCTCCCTCCTCCTCCCATCCCTCTCCCCAGCCCTCCCTCCTCCTCCCATCCCTCTCCCCAGCCCTCCCTCCTCCTCCCATTCCTCTCCCCAGCTCTTCCTGCTCATCCTGGGAATCGCACGCGCTTAACTCTAGTTGACCAGGGGCTTAATTAAATGCTTCACAAGTCAGCAGCAGCATTTTGTCTGCCTCTCCCCCGGCCTGCCCTCCCCTCCCAGGCCCCCGGCCTGGCAGAGCCCCAGTGCCCAGTAGTTGGGGCCCAGGGACTGGAGCTGGAGAAGCCAACTCCTCCTGCATCTCCTGGCTTTCTCTCCCAAGACAGGAGAGGCCTGGGATCTGAGGAGGAGAGGCCTAGGGCTCCCCCTCTCCTGCCCTGCCCCGGACTGGAGCCTCAGGGTCAGCGGCCTTCCCTCCCCGGGCACTGCGGGCGGTTCATCTGCCGGGCAGTTCTTCACAGATGGGACAGACAGAAGGGAGCAACGGTGCCGCTGGGAGCCGCGTCCGGCCCTGACCCAGGGCAGGTCACATCACAACAGACTGGGGCAAGAGGGGACAGCCCCGAGGATGCTGGGAAACATCCACCCACTCCTCCAGGGGGCCAAGTTCAGCCCTCGCTGACCTTCCAGGATCCTGGCGTCACATGACCCACTTCCCCCCAGGCCCAGGCCCTGATGGTGAGTCAAGATGCATCACCGGGCTGGGAAGGTAGCTCAGTGGTAGAGCACTTGCCTTGCATGCCTGAGGCCCTGGGTTCAATTCCTCAGCACCACATAAGCAAAAAGAAAAAAGCCGGAAGTGGTGCTGTGGCTCAAGTGGTAGAGTGCTCGCCTTGAGCTGAAGAGCTGAAGGACAGCGCCCAGGCCCAGAGTTCAGGCCCCAGGACCGGACCCCCCAAAAAAAGTTTAAAAAAAAAGATGCATCACCCTAAGTTTGAGGCCTAGAGCATGAGAGGAAACAGAGGGGAGACCCTGGGACTCCAAGCCCCCACCGTCAACTCCTGAACCTGCCAGTAGATTGAAAAGCTGAGCCTGGAGTGAGCCCCAAAAAGCACAAGTTACAAAAAAGAAAAAAACAGAGATGTCTCTCAAACCATGCAGGCAAATCAGGGCTTTACACGCAGAACACCGGTGGCTCACGCCTGCCATCCAAGCGACTCAGGAGACTGAGATATGAAGATCTCAGTTCAAAGCCAGCCTGGACAAGCAAGTCTGAGAGTCTTATCCCAGTGAAGCACCAGGAAGACCCAAAGTGGTGCTGTGGCTCCAAGGGTGCTAGCCTTGAGTGAAGAAGTTAAGGGACAGAGCCCAGAGCCTGAGTTCAAGCCTCAGGACTGGCACGGGCACGCGTGTGTGCGTGTACACACACACTGCAGAAAACTGACCACATAATTGTGGAGGAGTAAATATGTATCATGTGAACTAAAGGACCCATAGCCTTCATATATAAAGAGCTCTCATAACTCGCTAAAAAAGGACAAGGCCTCCGTAAGATGGTGGCGGGACCGGGGGGCTGCAGGGCTGGCGGAGCGACATTCCCTGGCCCTCATCCGAAGCTGTAGCCACTCCTGCTGTGGATGCAGCGGACCTCACGCTGCAGCCCAGGCTGGCCTTGAGCCGTCCATCCTCCTGCCTCAGCCTCCCTCCTGCAGGCATCTCCATTCCCCAGCTCCTGCAGTCCCCCCCAGCCAACGCTTTTCGGGCTCCCTTCCTGTGGCCCCTGTGAGTGGCCTCGGCAGGCAGAGGCCGGGAAGGCCTGGGCACTGAGGGCAGGGAGGGACAGGGAGCCCCAGTGGTAACAGGAAGGTCTGGAAAAGGCCGCTGAGCGGGGGGGGGAGGACTCACCTAGCCAGTGCTCCCCCGTGAGCTTGCCGAAGCCCTCTCGGTAGGCCTCCCAGCCCCTGAAGAAGTTCACGGAGCCATCTTCCCTCCGCTGGAACACCTGCAGGAGGGAGGAAAGGGGGGGGACCCATGATCCCCAGAACCCCGTCCCACGGCCCCCTGCCCCTGGCCTGCCCACTCAGGATGGCCAGGGCTGGGCCGGGGGCAGAGGCTCAGGAGCCTGCGGTGACTGAGGAGCAAGGTCCTCGGCCGTCCCCGCAAGAGGCACAGCTGGCAGGCCCACTCTGCCTCAGGATGCCAGGATAGACCTTTCTTGTTCTGGGCCTCGGTTTCCCCATTGGAGAAGAAAGGGGGATGGGCAGAGGCCCTGAAAGCTCTTCCCAGGCCAACATGAAGCCAAACACAAGCCCAGGCAAGGCCGCCAGCCGGGTGCAGCCAGCTCCCATTCTCCAGTTTGTTTGTTCCTGGCTTGGGTTTCTGGGTGCCAGTACTGGGGTTTGAACTCAGCGCCTGGGCACGGTCCCGCAGCTTTTGTGCACTAGCCTTGAGGCGAGTGCTCTACCAGCCACTTGAGCCACAGCTCCATTTCCAGCTTTTGCAGCAATTAATTGGGGAGAAGAGTCTCACGGACTTTCCTGCCCGGGCTGGCTTCAAACTGCAATCCTCAGCTCTCAGCCTCCAGAGTAGCTAGGATGACAGGCGTGAGCCACGGCATCAGGCTCTTGGTTTTTATTTTGGTTGTGCCAGTATTGAGGCTTGAACTCAAGGACTTCACTCTCACTTGGCTTTTTCACTCAAGGCTAGTGCTTTACCACTTGAGCTACAGCTCACATCTGGCGTTTTGCTGGTGGAGAGTCTCCTGGACTTCTCTGTCTGGGCTGGCTTCGAACCAGGATCCTCGGATCTCAGCCTCCTGAGTAGCTGTGATGACAGGTGTGAGCCGCCGGCGCCCTCTTCCCTTCTCATTTTGTAAACAGATCTTTTACATTACACTCACCCTCCAGAGCCTCCTCTCTCAAACAGCTCCTTTCCCCAGCCATGAAGCCTGGACTGGGATCACAGGGGGGGGAAAGGAGGTAACCAGGAGCCCCAAACTCTACTTCTTGATGGAGGTAGGGGGCGATGAGGAGCCCCAGCCAGGCCGGGGTGTGACGGGGCACCAACGGCGCTGGCCTGCCTTTGATTTTCATCTCCATAGCGCTGTTGATTTGGGAGCCTGGAATCCCTTTGGTTAAATTGCTTTCAAATAAGGACCAGACTGGCCGGGCTGCCTGAGTATTTACAAGATCGCTGACGGGCCCGTTCCCCGCCCCCTCCCTTCCCATCGCCTTTCTTGTCCAACCAGCCTTTTCCTGCTCATTCCGGAGCCTCCCCTCGCCGCCCACCCGCCTCCATCTGTGTTGGCGTCTGATGTACCAGAGACTTGGCTACAGAATGCCAGCTGCCACTTCCATTACTAAGCAGCCTGATTCCAGCCGCGTGGAACTGCCGGCCGGCCCGGCTGACCCAGGCATCGTCCCTGAGGCCGGATCAGTCACGGGCTTTGGGCAGCTCCCACGTCACAGAGCCGGGAAGGACACCTCTTTTTTTCCCTGCTCAGCTGCCCTGATCCTGTTCCAGCCCCGAGATTTCAAAGTCCTGGGAGGGCTGGGCCGGGCGGAGGGAAACTCGATAAGCCTGGGAGAGATCTGAGCAGGCCGCGCGTGCTATCGACTGTGCATTGGCACCCCGAGCACGCGTGCTTTGAAAGGCCTGATCCCGGCAGAAGCCGGGCACTCCCCCGGGGCGTGGGGGAGGCTGAGCCTGTTTCTGACAAAGAGAACTGAAGGTGCTTGCTGTAGCTGGGGCCCCCAGGCCCTGGGGACCGGCTTCCCCCAGCACCTGCACACAGACAGTATCTTGGGGGGAGGGGTCCAGGAGGCGCCGAGGCCGCAGATTTGGGTCCCCAAGCCCTGGCTCTGCATAGATGTCACCCCTCCCCTCCCAGTGACTTACAGAACCTCTGTCTGCCTCACTTTCTGCAGCTGTGACGGGAAGATCATAACAGAACTCCCGTGCAGCCCCCCACATCCACTATGCTTCCAGCATGGTGCATAATAGGTGCTCAGCAAAAGCAGGCCTGGCCAGGGGGCTCCGGTCCCCCCCCACTGTCACACCCATCCCTCCAGCCTTCCCAAGGGACCTGCCGTACCCTCCCATTCATGCCAGCGTCCCATCAGTGTGCCAGGTGCCCGTTAGGGAAACTAAGGGAGGGAGCCTGAGGGACCTTGGACTGAAGCTGTCATGTGGAAGCCCCACCCACCCTTGCAGGAAGTAGTGCAGCCCTGGGTGGGGACACAGCTTTGGGGAGGGACTCCAGGGGGCTGGAGAAAGGGCAGGATCTCCCCACCCCACATCCACCCACCTGCCACGTGGTCACAGCCCTCCCCCTCCCGAGACCTCCACAGAGCCAAAGCTGCCAGTGCCCACCCCACCGAGAGCGCTGCAAAGCAGACGGACAGGAGCCCTGGAAACGGGGAGGTCCAGTCCTGCCAGGGGGCCCAGTGAGGGAGATGCAGAGGACTGAGAGGCTGCGGACAGACGGGCCCCGCAGTGCCACCCTTGCCCCACCCCTGCCCAAGCCCGAAGGGCACAGCACCACCCCTCCCAGCCAGGCTGGAAGGCCCCCTCCTCCCGCGAGCGGCCAGGAGCCGGGGTGCTGGCAAGGCCAGAGGGGCTGCACAGCAGAGCGGACAGTGGCCTTCATGGCGCAGGTAAGAAACAGCCCGAGCCTGCTCAGTTCTGGTGCTAGGGCCCAATGCCAGGGCTCACGCCGGTCATCCTCGCTACTCAGGAGGCTGAGATCTGAGGATCGCGGTTCCAAGCCAGCCTGGGTAGGAGAACCCACGAAAGTCAGAAAGTGGAGCTGTGGCTCAAGTGGTAAAGCACTAGCCTTGAGTAGAAAAGCTCAGGGACGGTACCTAGGCCGAGTTCAAGCCCTGGACACACACACACACACACACACACACACACACACACACACACACACACACACACACACGCACGCACATTCTGCTGGAGCCTGAGGGCCGATTGTCCTGCCATTGTGTATCTGCGTGTACAGGGCAGTGCTCGCGCTGATTGCCAGGCACACCTCTTGTGCCAAGAGCTGCCCGCTAGCCCCAGCTCCCTTTCCCGCCCTCTGGATGGTGCCAGTCACAGGCATCCCCCCCCCCCGGCCCCTGGCTTATGTGGGTGCTGAGGACCTCCAAGCACACCCCTGGAGTCACCTTTGCCTCCATCCTGCAAAGGGCTCTGAGGTGGAGAACGGCTGGCACTGGACCCCTGCCGAGCGGGGAGGACTTGTGCCAGGGGGCGTGGTCACCAGCGTGAGGACCAATCGCCACCTTCCACTTCAGGGGCCGAAGCACACACAGGAAGACACACACACGCCTGCTCGCACACAGCACACCTGCCCGTCTGACACAGAAGCTCCCTACAACCATCGGCTGTTTTCCGTCTGGTTCCATGAACTTTTGTCTGACTCCAAGCCACCCAGGGCAAAAACCAGCTGTGGCTTCAGCGATGTGAAGACCTGCTGAACCCCGTTAGTGGCAGCAAGGACCGGCTGGACCGGAAGACACGTGTCCAGGCCTCTGGTGTCCCTGCGTCCCTTCCCCTGTCCCTAGCATCCTTGCTGAGGCAAAAAAGGGTCCCAAGTAATCTCGGGCTAACTTTGGGGCGGATGGATTCTCAGCTTCCAGCTGGTATGGAAACCCTGGCCTCCCCAGGAAGAGCCACGGGTGGGAAGACAGACAGGGCTTGTTTTCCTGGTGCTGATTCTCCAAAGCCAGCCGCCGCCTGGGGTGGTGGAGGGAGCTCAGCCGTGGGAGCACGTGGCCACGCGAGCCACAGATCGCGCTGTGGATTCACAGAGGCGCCGGCACTGGGGCAGCTGAGTGGCGGGAGACGCGTCAGCCACCACCCCGAGGACTCAGGGTCTCCTCTGAGCCCATGTGGCAGCCTCTGAAGACAGCTGGGTCCCCCCCCATCCCAGCCTGTCTGAGTGCCAAGAGCACAGGGCTGGCCCCGTGGGCACCAGGCCAGCGCCTCGGGGGCTGGGCACAGCCCGGCGGTGGGGGAGGACAGCCCCTATTTGGCAAATGAGGAACGGACGGGAAAGGCACGGGAACTCTATGGGAGGTGGAGCTGTGGGCAGATAGGGTGATAGGGAGCCCCAAAGCCCAGTGGGGTGAACACTGAGCCCCACGCCCCTGTGCCCATCAAGCCCTCAGTCCCAGGCGAACCCTGAATTGGCACCCAGGCCGCCGGCAGCAGGACCTCCAAAGTCTCAGTTTGTGGCTCACGCCTGTCATCCTAGATCCTCAGGAGGCTGAGTTCTGAGGATCATGGTTCAAAGCCAATCCTAGGCAAGAAAGTCCATGACACTTGTATCTCCAATTAACCATCAAAAAATAGGAAGTGGAGCTGTGGCTCTAGTGGTGGAGAGCTCATGTTGAGCACAGGACCTTAGGGACAGCACCCGGCCTTTGCTAAGAGTGGTAACCGTGGACATAGGGCCGAGAGTCCTCTGCCCAGACAGGGGCTGGGGAGGCCGCCGGACTGCAGGCTGCCGACCAGGAGGTCAGGGAAACTGAGGCCGGAGGTGGGGATGGGCAGACCACCCTTGGGTCCCAGGCGAGGTGGCCTGTGGGATCCCCAGGAGGGGGCATCGAGGGACTGCTACAGACTCATGTTGCAGGCAGGACTGGGTGACCTCCTCCCCTGTGAAGTGGGGGCTGCTGGGAGGGGAGCCAGAGAGGAGCTGTGGAAGTGGACTGAAAATCTTGGGCCAAGTGTAGTGGTTTATGCCTGTAATCCCAGCTACTCAAGAGACACAAATAGAAGAACCAAGGTCTCAGGCTGGCCCTAGGTAAAAACACAACGATGCCAGCCACTCCTGTCAATAATCCCAAATGCTTTTCATCCCAGGCAGAAAAGGGAGAGAGACCCCATCTTCAAGCAAGAAGTTGGGCGTGGTGGTGCACCTGTTTTCCCAGCTAGGTTGGGAAGCCTACAATAGGCAGATCACAGTCCAGGCATGAACCTGGGCAAAAAGAAAGGGCCTATCTTAAAAACAACCAGGGCAGAAGAGCGTGGAGGTGTGGCTCAGCAGTAGAGCACCTGCCTAGCCAGCAATGGGGGCCTGGACGCAAACTCCAGTAATGCCAAGAGAAAGAAGCAGCAACGGAGAACTTGGGGGCACCCCAGGCTCCGGGTCACAGGAATGCGGGTAGGCAGGCGACCCTGGCCCCAGCGGGGTGCAGCTGGGGTCTGTGGGGGGGTCTGAAGCACCCCCCTTGCCCTTCTCTGTTCTCTGGGGTGGGACAGGGTCCCGGGAGGGGGGGCAGCCCCCCCTCCCAACAGGGAGCCCCTGGGAGCTTTCATCTTTCCCAGAGCCATGCCCGCCAGGCCCCTTTGAAGTTCTGGAGCGAGTGAGCGAGCAGCAAGGGGGGGCAGCAGCTCCTCAGCAGCAGAGCCAATTAGAGGCCCACCGGAGCCCGAGACCCCACAGGGAGGGGAAGCCGGGGAAGCAAGCAAGCGGCCAAGAAGCCGCACACACGGCATGGCACACGGGTGTGTCGGGTGTGTCAGAGCGCTGGGGGCGGAGCCAAGCAGCAGAGACGGGGCGGAGCGGAATGGACTTGCGGGGCGCTCTGCTGAGGGAGACGCTCAGCTGGGCCCCCGCTGCTGTGACCTCGCAGCCATTATGCAGAAACCTGCCCTTCGGCCCACTGGCCGCAAGGCCCTGGAGCAGAGGGGCGGGCGAGGCTCTCCTCCCTTTCCTCCTCCCTTCTCCTTCCCCTTGTCTGCTTGCTCATCTTCCTCCTTCTGCTCCCCCATTCCCATGCCTCCTCCTGGTCTCCCCCCTCCTCCCCCGCTCTGTTCCTCTCTGTTCCTCCTCCTCCTCTTCTCCCTTCCTTCTCCTGGCCTCTTCTTCCTCCTGCTGCTCCTGCTTCCTGCCCCCTCTCCCCTTTGCTCCCCCTCCCCCGTCTGCTCTCACCCTGGGAGCCACGAGAGCCACCCACAGCACAGCAGCTTCTGCAGAGAGCACTCGGAGCCCTGCGACTGAGCCTCGGACACGGCTCACAGCCCTGCGCCCCTCACTCCCCCTCCACCCCTGCAGGGCCCAAGGCCTGGTGTGTCCCCCCACAGCCCCCCTGCCCGGCCCTCCAGACCCCAACGCACAGCGCAGAGCCGCCCAGTCCCCTCCACCTGAGCTCCATTGGCCCAGCCCTTGGGCCTGAGTCTGGACCCTGCCGCTGCCCGCTGCCCGCTGCCCGGCCGGCCCTGCTCCTTGCTGGCTGCCTGTCCCTGGGACACCCGGCTCTCCCTCATGCGGGAGGCAGGGGCTTCGCCCTGGCCAGGCTCGTGCGGACCCCAGAAAGGGCGCTCGATCCAGGCCGTCCCTGTGGCCTGAGGCGGCATGAAGCAGAGGCCCGTGTTCTTCAGCCTGGCCCTGGCCCTGCCCGCGCATGCCAGGCGCCGGCAGTCCAGGCTGGTGCCTAATGAGGATGGGGGAGGGGGCAGAGGCAGCACCCCTAAGGACAACAGAGTTTCCCACAGATTCCGCACGGCAGGGAAGCGATCCTCGTGGGGGTCCTGAATGGATATTAACTATTAACGGGCACAGCCTGCACCAACACACCTCAGACCCATCCAGACTCGGCCGAGCCCCAACCCAGCTGGGGGGGGAGGGCTGTGAGTTTCTCCCAGCCTTCTCTACCTGCCCCCAAGCCCAGACGGAAGGAGTCCCCAAGTTCTGATAGACTTGCAGGGGGACCAGCCCCCGCTGCCTGAGCGGAAGGCGGCAGCCTGTGCCCCGCGTGGCCAGCACCCTGCCGCCCCGGGTCACACGGGTCTCACGGGCAAGCGCCATAACTCAGACTCCTCCAGCTGAGGAAAACAAAAGAGCTTTTAACCCCCTGACACAGACCGGGTGCGTTAAAAGCTCTCCTCCGGCGGGTTCAGAGATGGGAACGTCTGGGGCCCCCGGGGGCCTCAGCTGCTCCCACACTGGCTCCTAATGGCAGCTCCAAGCCCCCCCCCCCACGGCTGGCCACGGCCCCCTGAAAGCTTTCCTCCTCCACTTCCACCACGCTCATTTATCTGACCTGAAACCCTTCCCCCGCTTCCACCAGCCTGGACGTCAGCTCACCAAAAATAGTCTATGCCAGGGCCTCGGTGGAGACGGGGCGCCAGCCCTCAGTGCGAGGTTGCAGACAAGGAGAGCTTCTGTCTCCCCACCCCCTTTTTTTTTCTTTGTCGGTCGTGGGGGCTGAACTCTGGGGCTGGGCGCTGTCCCTCAGCTCTTCAGCTCAAGGTTAGCTCTCTACCACTTAAACCACAGCACCACTTCTGGCTTTTTCTGCTTATGTGGTGCTGAGGAATCGAACCCAGGGCCTCATGCATACAAGGCAAGCACTCTACCACTGAGCCACCTTCCTAGCCCACCCCCCCCTTTTTTTTTTCAAGCTCTTGCTTGGATCACTCAAGGCTGGTGCTCTACCACTTAAGCCACACCTCCACTTCTAGCTTTTTGCTAATTACTTGGAGATAAGAGTCTCGCAGGCTTTCCTGCCCAGGCTGGCTTTGAACTGTGATCCTCAGATCTCAGCCTCCTGGGTATCGAGGATTATGGGGTGAGCCATCAGCCGCTGGCAGAGATAAGAGTCATAAGAACGTTCCCGCCCGGGTTGGCTCAAACGCCATCCTCAGATCTCAGACCCCGAGTGGCTGGGATTACAAGCCTGAGCCACTGGCGCCTGCGTTTTCTTTTTTTAAAGTCAAGTCTTACTTTTTGCCTGGGGCCAATTGTGTTCACCTAACTGACACTTCCTGTCACAGGGCAGGATGAACGCTGTCCACACCACTACGGGCGTCCTTCCACTGAGATGGGGTCTTGAAGACTCTTCTGCCTGGGCTAGCCTGTAACCTCAATCCTCCCTTAGCCCCTGGGTGGCTAGAGGACAGGCCTGAGCCACCGCACCGCACAGACGCTCGGGCTGGCTGCAAACCACCATCTCCTGTTCACAGCCTCCCAAGTGGCCAGGATTACAGGTGTGCGCCACTGGCGCCCAGCTGGATTCTTTTTCATGGCTCAAAAAAAGTTTTATATTTTTCTGAAGCTGTCTTGTGAATAATACTTAAGGAAGACCGCATGCACATTTTTATGAAATTCAAATTTCATTGTCTACAAGTGGCATTATTGGAACAAAGCCACACCCCTGCCATTTCCTTTTGTCTCCTCATTTTCCAACCACAAAGGGGCTGATGGCTGCCACCGTGCCCGCTGAGAGTCCAAGCCCACATTCCCAGTCCCTTCCAGAACTCTTTGCAGACAACAGGGAGGACCTTGCTCCAGGAGAGGCTTCCAGGCCCCCCCCCCCAGGGCCCCACCCCCAGCTCCTGGCCACTGGCTCTCCAGCCCTGGAAAGCCGCGGGCCTGAGCTGTCCCGTGCCTGCCTCTGCCTGGGGGACACCAGGGCAGCCACACACAGCCAGGCTAAGTCCCAGGGTCTCATGCCGGGGCCTTGCCACCGCCCCCCGCATCATGTATCAGACACCCCAGAAGCCAGACGCGTGTGCAGCCCTTGAACACACACTAAGGACCGGGCCGGTGGCTCCTGTGCCAGACTCACCGTCCATCCGCCGCCGTCGGTGCGCATGTCGCAGTACACCTGGAAGCCGGCGGGGTAGTGGGTGGGGAAGATGGAGTAGACGCCGTCCTCCTGCTGCCCGCTCAGGAGGATGTCCAGACAGTCCCGGGGCGGAGGGCCTGGGACAGCGGAGCCCGTCAGAGCGCGGCACAGCGCGCCAGCCCACAAGCTGCTGCCCACCGCCCTCCCCGCCCGGAGCCGTCTGCGGCTCTCCCGCACCATCTCTACACGCGGTCAGGAGCACAGGCCTGGAGACCTCAGCTGGGCTCCACGCTGGGTAAGCCCCTCCCCCCTTGATTGTGCCATCTGGGAAATGGGACTCCAGGCCATGGGGGGCAGGGGAGGAGGGTGGCCACACCCCCGGCCAGCAGAGCCCCCTGGGCTGGTGGTGGAGAACGGGGTCATAGGCCTCATGGAAGCAAGAAGAGGCCCCAGGGTCTCTGTGGGGTGACCCTCGCCCCAATCTTCCCACTCCTGGGGCGGGGGGGGGGGGGGGGAGGGTCCAGGCACTCACCGCTGGCGCAGCCCCGGGGCCGGACTCCGCGGGCCGGGGCTCTCTGGAGGTCTGCCTTGACGCGGGGCCGGCCCAGCCCCCGGTCCCTCTGTAGGGCATCCAGGAAGTCGCCGATGGAGTTCACCAGGTGAGCCATGTGGCCTTGGCTCTCCGACAGGAGCTGCAGCACACAGACGGTTACCGGGGATGGGGTGTGTGTGTAGGAGCTGGGGAGGGGGTGAACCGGGGAGCACCGGGTGGTCACACCCTCACAGCTTCTAGAAGGGGTTCCGGGGGTCCGTGGCAGCTGTGGCCCTGACCTGGCTCCTACTGTGACCTGACCGGTCAGCCAAGCTCTGGCAGACGCTGCTGGCCTTCTAGAACCTGGAGGAGTCGGAGGACAGGGCCAGGAGGGAGGGGAAGGGCCAGGAGGGAGGGGGCAGGCTGAGGAGGGAGGGGGCAGGGTGAGGAGGGAGCGGGCACGGCCGGGAGGGAGGGGGCAGGATGGCTCCAGCTCCATATTAAGTTTTTTCTGGCTGGTCCTGGGGCTTGAACTCAGAGCCTGGGCACTGTCCCTGAGCTTCTTTGCTCAAGGCTAGTGCTCTACCACAGGAGCCCAGCTCCCATTCCAGCTTTTTTGGTAGTTCATTGGAGAAGAAGAGTCTCATGGCCTGGCACCCACGGCTCACGCCTGTCATCCTAGCCATTCAGGAGGCTGAGACTTGAGGATTGTAGTTCAAAACCAGCCTGAGTAGGAAAGCCTGTGAGACATTCATCTTCAATAAACTACCAAAACAAAAACAAAAACAAAAAACCCAACCACCTGGAAGTGGGGCTGTGGCTCAAGTCCTAAAGCGCTGGCCTTAAGCAAAAAGGCTCATGAACAGCGCCCAGGCCCTGAGTTCAAGCCCCAGCACTCACACAAAAAGAAAGTCTCATGGATTTGCCTGCCCAGCTGGCTTCAAACCAGGATCCTCAGCCTCCTGAGTAGTTGGGATTACAGGTGTGCGCCACCAGCACCCAACTCCAGTCCATGTTCTTTAGACAGTTCTTTATTGTTTTGTTTTGTGCCAGTACTAGAACTTGAACCCAGGGCCTGGGCACTGTCCCTGAGCTCTGTTGCTCAAGGCTATAGCTCTACCATTTGAACCACAGCTCCACTTGTGACTTTTTGGTGGTTCACTGGAGATAAGAGTCTCATGGACTTTGCTGCCTGGGCTGGCTTTGAACTGTGATCCTCAGATCTCAGCCTCCTGAGTAGCTAGGATGACAGGCGTGCACCACAAGCGCCGGTCTGTCAGTCCAGGTGAGGATGGTTTGCAGCGCCCCCCCCGCTCCCCCTCCCCCACATCAGGCAGGCCACTGGGTCCCCAGCTCCCTGGGAGGAGCTCCCTGAAGGCCCCTGGCACTGAACTTGGAAGAGGGATGAAGAGGAATGACGTCTCTCCATGGCTACACCGCCACAGGGACCACAGCCCCAAAGTGCCAGCGTGTTATCTCCCAGACTCCAGCTCTCCTAAGAACTTTGCTTGGGCTCAGGACTTGCGGTGGTCACCTCTGTGACGCTCAGAGAAACTGAGGCCCAGAAGGAGCTGAACCTGCTAGCAAACAGGCACGGGGACCAGGGCTGGCGCCTCTTCTCCAGGACTGACAGCCCAGGGCTGCATGGGATGGGAGGGGGCGGGGCCGGCCCTGGTGCCCATCGGCTGGGTTTTGGCCTCTGCCCTGCCCTCTTCCTCAGCCGTAAGCTGCTATCTTTCTCTTCTCCCTCCACCACCACCCAGGCTTGCCACTCAGGGGAGGTGGCTGAGTCCGAGGGGTCAGGGGGCCTCAGCCCTGTGGGCTCCATGAAGTGCTTGTGGTCTCTGCCCCCCCCCCCACATACCAGGCGAGGTGGGGGTGGGTACATGGACAGACCGAGAGGTCCGCCATACCGAAGCTGTCACTCAAAGATAATAGCCCAGGGGAGGGAGGAGCAGAGAAACCCGCCGGGCCAGCAGTTTACAAAATGCGATTCTCAGCTTCTCCTTCCAAGGCGGGCCTGCCAGTCCCTGCCAGTCCCTGCCAGTCCCGGCCTGTTTCCCCTCCGCTGGGCATGCGATTCCCCGGGGTGCACCGGCAGTGCCTGCAGGCCAGTCCGCAGTGACCCGAGGCTGGGCTCGTCCAGCCCTGGGGGGGGGGGGCACGGCAGTGCCTGGGACAGGCAGATGGCCCCGTGGCTCATGCTTGGGCACCGTGGCTCTCTGACACTGCCCCTCCCGCTCCCTGGTGGGGAGGGAGGACCTGGGTAGATGGGCAAATGGTGACCGCTGACAAGGCACAGATAAACCTGGCCCCCGTTCACAGAGCTCTGGCTCTGCCCGCAGAGCCGTGCGGGACACGGCGCAGGGGCAGAGGCTGCGGGCTTCACAGGCCACGGAGTGTCACACGGTGACCCGTTTCTCCTGCAGCACCTGGGGCCGCACACCAGAGGCCCACTGAGCCCCGGATGGTCATCAAGTGTCCAACAACCCCGCGGGCACAGCCCGTGACATCGTTTACACCCCGCAAATGAATGGATGTGGAGCCGGGCGCCGGTGGCTCACACCTGTCATCCTAGCTACCCACGAGACCAAGATGTGAGCATCACGGTTCAAAGCCAGCCCAGGCAGGAAAGTCTGTGAGATTCTGGTCTCCAGTTCATCAGATAAAAGCTGGAAGTGGAGCTGTGGTTCAAGTGGGAGAGTACCAGCCTTGAGCAAAGAAAGCTTGAGGACAGTGTGCAGGCCCGAGTTCAAGCTCCAGTACCAGAGCAACAACAACAAAACAAGAGGGCTGGGACACCCCAAGTCCCCAGCTGGTTGTGCTGTGACCCAAGGCGTGACTCAACCAGCAGGGCAGGGCAGGGACAGCCCTGGTCAGTGGGCAGCCCCAGGGCCGGACTGAGACGGCCGCTCCGGCTCCAATGCAGACTCCCATGTGCCCCCTGGGGGCCAGGGATGGGACTGCAGCCAGGAACTGCCTCTGAGCAGCAGTCCCCACCCGTGGGCCCGGCTCTGAGAAACACAGAGGGTTGGGGAGCAGAGGAGAGGGTCAGAAGCCAAGGCTAGCTGCCTCCCAATGAGTCACGGAGACCCAGGAAGCCTCCGGAACCAGCCGAGTTCCACTCAAACATACAGTGAGCTGGGCACCGGCGGCTCACACCTGTCATCCTACCTACTCACCAGGCTGAGATCTGAGGACTGCAGCTCACAGCCTGGGCAGGCTCTTTATCTCCCATCAGCTACCCAAATGCCAGAAGTGGGGCTGTGGCTCAAGCGGTAGAGCCAAAAAGCTCAGGGACAGCGCCCAGGCCCTGCATTCAAGCCCCAGCCCCAGCTCCACCACCCCCTCCCCCCCCACACACACATGGCCTGAAGCCATGGCTTCAGGACTCCAGAGACACCAGCTACCTTGCAGGGCTGGCAGGCCGGGGCACCTGCAGCACCCAGCTCAAGGGGGGTGGGGGCGGGGCGTTTGTGGACCCCGCCTGTGCCGCCCAGGGTGGGGCTGCAGGAAGGGTGAGGTGTAGAGAGAAATCCCAGAGTCTGGAGGCTGACCGGCCTGGGGAAGCAGCAGGGAGTGAAGCAGCAGGAATTGGCGGTGATGCCCAGCCTGGGAGGGGAGCCGGGAGCCCCCCACCAGGTTCCCCCCCCAGAGGGGAGCCGTCCCTGTCAGTCACACAGACAGGGTGAAGAGGCTGTAATTTCCCAGCTGCAGCCTTCAGAGGAGGGGAAGGGACTTTCTGAGCAACCAAGGGCCGGGCCATGCCGGTACCGGCTGGGGTGGGTGGGCAGGAGGGTGGGGGCAGGAACTGGCTTAGGTCTCTGAGGCTCTGCATCACAAGAAGTGCTAAGGAACAGCAGGAGAAAGCTGAGCACTGTGGCTCACGCCTGTAATCCCAGCTACTCAGGAAGCCAGGATCTGAGGATCAAGGCTTGAAGCCAGAGCAGGCAGGAAAGTCCATGAGACTCTTATCTCCAATGAACCACCAAAAAGACAGAAGTGGAGCTGTAACTCAAGTGGTACAATGCCAGCCCTGAGTTCAAGCCCCAGTATCAGCATACAAGGTGGAGGATGAGGAGGAAGAAGAGAAGGAGGAGGAGGAGGAGGAGGAAGAAGAGGAGGAAGAAAAGGAGAAGGAGGAAGAGGAGGAGGAGGAGGAGGAAGAAAAGGAGGAGGAGGAGGAGGAGGAAGAAAAGGAGGAGGAGGAGGAGGGGCTGGGCAGGACCCAGAGGCCTGGGCCTGGCTGGTCCCTGTGGGAACCACGGAGGCAAATTCAATGGCCCTAGGAGAGGAGGCGTGGAAAGCTGGCCCCTCTACCCGAGGTAGAAGGGAGAAGAGGAAGACGGCTCCAAGCCTAGCTTTCGATCTCTGGAGAGCGGGGCCGCACATGGCAGGGGGCTGGGAGGGGAGGGCTACAGAAAGGGGTATGGCTCCTGACTGGCCCAGGGGCCCTAAACAAACCCTGTCCTTCCCCCCCCACCCCTCGTCTGGCGGGACAGGCCGGGACATCAGGCCACCATTGGCTGCCCCAAGGTACTGCTGGCTGCCGGGGCCCATGGGCGGGAGGCTGGGAGGGGCCGGCCAGGTGGTCCCGGAGGAGGCGCGGCTCACTCACAGACGGGGACAGACAGTCCCGCTTGGGGACACTTAGGCAGAGACTGTGGCCCTCTGGCTTCCGGCAAGCCATCCCCCTCCTTACCTGGATGAGATGCCCCTGCTCGCTCTGCAGGGTGCTGAGCCCCTGGCCCAGGGCGCTGTGCACCTTTCGCAGCCCCGTGCACTCGGCCTGCAGCTCCGAGGCCCGAGCCAGCAGCCGGGGCAGCTGGTCGGCCAGGGTGTCCAGCAGCTCCTGCCCGGGGGCGCCCGCCCGCCGGGCCTGCGCCGGCCGCTCCGTCAGCGCCCGGAGCACCGAGGCCTGGGCACCCTCCAGGCGGGCGAAGCCGTCGGCCAGGTCGGGGCAGCGCGGGTCGATGGTGATGCTCAGACGGGAGCTGTCGGCTCTCTCCACCGTGACCAGGGCACTGTTGGCCCCCGCCGGGCCCGTGCTGACCACGGGCGGGGGCGCCGTGCCCGGCACGGGGCTGTGGTTCAGGAAGAGCAGGGCGGCCGTGACCACCACGGCCAGCAGGACGGCCAGGGACAGCAGCACGGTGCACGCCACACAGCCGCAGCTCGGCCGCTGGGGACGGTCCAGGACGCGCGCACAGACACACGGACAGACAGACAGACAGGAGAGAGCAGAGCAGCATGAGAGTTCAGCCTGGGCCTCTGGCTCTGGCTGGCGAGGATGGGGGGAGGCCAAGGGAGGCAGGGAGCCCAGCGCCAGGGCCTCCCGCCTGTCATCCCAGCCACTCAGGAGGTTCAAAGCCAGCCCGGGCAGGAAAGGCCGTGAGACTCAGCACCGATGAATGACCAAAAAGTCGGAAGTCAGTTATGGCTCAAGTGGTAGAGTGCCAGCCTTGAATGAAAAAGCTAACGGGCAGCACCCAGGCCCTGAGTTCACTCACACACACACACACACACACACACACACACACACACACACACACACACACACACACACACACACACACTGCACAGAGAGAGAGAAAAGTGGAGGAGCAAGCCCAGGACCAGAGAAGAGAGACTCAGGAGATGGATGCAGGGACTTGAGGGCCTAGGGCTCGTTCCTGGCTGACGCTCTGCTGCACCTCCAGCCTGGCTTTCTGCTGGTTATTTTAGAGACCTGAATCTCACCAGCTTTTCTCCCTGGCCTGGCTTTGAACCTCAATCCTCAAATCTCAGCCGCCTGAGTAGCCAGGATGTCAGGTATGAGCCCCCAGCGCCGGGCCGGGCCCGAGGGCCTCTTCTAGCCTGCAGCCCACATCTCCCCAGCCTCCCAGAGTCCACTTCCTCCACGCAGCACACGGCCCCAGGGCCCCTGTCCCCTGCCTTGTCCCAAGGTGGCATCTGATGGGGCGGTGAGGAATGGCAGGCAGGCCCTGCACAGGGCCGCCGGGCAGGAATGAGGCTTTGTGCACGCTGTGATTCTCCCGAACACGCCACACCGTATCTCAAAGCAGGGGAGAGAACGAGTCAGGGAAGACACGCTTAAGACCAGAGATGGAACCAGAAACCAGGACCAATCGCAGCTGGCAATTCCAAAGGGCGCCATGACTCTTGTGGACTCAGATTCACCGAAGTGAATCGCTCCCAGCCACTCCGTGAATGCTTCACACACAGGGAAACTCGAGGCCCAGAGAGGGCAAAGGGCTTGCTTAGAGTCACACAGCAAACTAGAGACGCAGCAGGGATGGAGTCCCCAGCTTCCTGCCTTCCCGCCTGGGCCGGGCACCTCTCATACACCGAATCTCTTCAACTTTAAGACACACACTTGCAACATCCCGCACTTGAGACGCATCTTTAAAGGAGTGAGCATCTTCACGCCCTTGGAGCGGTGCCTGGCTTGTTGGGTTTCTGCACTAAATATTCGCGGCTTTTATTATGTCATGATCGATGTGCACACAGCATCTGGAGGTGGTTTTTCTTTTTCCTCCCAGCGCATTATTTCTGTGTTCTGGGTGCTGAACAGAAACTTCTCAAATGCACATGCCAGGAACAGCTCCCCTCCCCCCCCACCGCCCTGAATCTCTGATCGGACCCCTGAGAAGAAAGGGTCTTCCTGAGAAGAGATGGGCTTCCTCCAGGAAGCCCTCCTTGACTGCTACCTCCTCCCAGCAACAGCAATCATTCTTCCTCATTCACTCGGCCGTCCCCACCTCCATTCCACACCCGCTGGGGTCCCCAAGAGCCCGGCTCTGGGCTGCCTCAAGGGGTGTCAGGGAGAGGCCAGCCCCCAGCCCTGCCCCAGCTGGGAGGGGAGTGGATTCCATGGACTCAACCCTCTGATCCCAGGTGGCATCTGGGGACTCAGAATCCGCTGAGCAAGGGCCTGCGTGGCATCCGGGCTCAGGGCAGTCCCGACGGCTGGCTGCTGGGTGGATGGGCAGAGGGACCGGCAGAGGTGCTGAGAGGTGAACCAGGCCCGGTCTCTGGGGCAGGGCTGGGCAGGGCAGAGGCTCAGGACCGTCATGCCCCTCTCCCGCGCCCCAAGGCTGGGCCTCCTCTGCCCCGCGCCCACCTCGGGGGACGTGGCACCGACGGGAGGGGACCTGCAGCTGCTCCGAGGGTCCGGCAGGCCCAGAGCTGACCGGCGGGCCCTGCGCTGTCCCTACCATTCCTGCACAGGCCCAGTCCCCGCCACAGAGACCTCCAAACAAGCTGGACGCTGGTGGCTCACGCCTGTCATCCCAGCTGCTCAGGAGGCTGAGATCTGAGGATCACGGTTCAAGGCCAGCCAGGGCAGGAAAGCCTGTGAAACTCTCTCCAGTGAACCACCAAAAAAACCCAAAAGTGGAGCTGTGGCTCAAAGAGGCAGAATGCTAGCCTTGAAAAGAAAGGCTCAGGGACAGCGCCCAGGCCCTGAGTTCAAACCCCAGGACTGACAAAAGAAAACAAAAAGAAAAAGGAAACCTCCAAGAACTCCGGGGCTGAGCTGGACCCACAGCTCACGGGTCAGCCCTGGACCACAGGCGGTCACGGAGCCACCTCCGACCTCCGTCCTCTGCCTCCACACAGCCACAGCTTCGGAGCCCTGCGTGGGCAGCTCTGCAGCGTCGGGTCCCGCCCGGACACCCTGCCCCAGCGAGCAGAGCAGCTCCACTGCCCCCTGGGCATTAAGCTGAGAGGTGGCTGGGAAGGGGAGGAGGAGGCGGGTATGGGGGAGGAAGCCGTGGGGTTCCTTGGGGAGGGGGGGCATGGAGGCAGGCAGATCAACCCTAAAGATGAAAGTGGAGTTACGGCTGTCTGTAAGGCGCCTGGCAAAGAAACCGGCCCTGGAAGATCAGGGTGCTGAGGGCGCCTCAAAACTGCAGCTCCTGGGCTGGGAAGGTGGCTCAGTGGTAGAGCGCTTGTCTTGCATGCATGAGGCCCTGGGTTCGATTCCTCAGCACCACATAAGCCGAAAAAAAAAGCCGGAAGTGGCGTTGTGGCTCAAGTGGTAGAGCACTATCCTTGAGCTGAAGAGCTGAGGGACAGCGCCCAGGCCCAGAGTTCAGGCCCTCTACAGGACCCATAATAATAATAATAATAATAATAAAACTGCAGCTCCTCAGGGCAGAGCGGGGTACCCCGGCTCTGAGGAGGGGAGGACACCGGCGTCCTGGGAACAGTCCTGGGAGGAGCCGGGAGACCCAGGTTCGAAGCTGATATGAGCGCCTGCTTCCCGGACGCCCCCCACTGAGAGAGGGGCGGGGCCTGTGCGGCCAGAGCCCCTGCCGGGTGGGCGGGGCGGTGGGCGGGGCCGGAGCCCCTGCCTGGGGCGGGGCGGTGGGCGGGGCGGTGGGAGGGGCCGGAGTCCCTGCCTGGGGCGGGGCGGTGGGCGGGGCCGGAACCCCTGCCTGGGGCGGGGCGGTGGGCGGTGGGAGGGGCTGGAGCCCCTGCCTGGGGTGGGGCGGTGGGCGGGGCCAGAGCCCCTGCCTGGGGCGGGCGGTGGGCGGGGCGGTGGGAGGGGCAGGGCGGTGGGAGGGGCCGGAGCCCCTGCCTGGGGCGGGGCGGTGGGCGGGGCGGTGGGAGGGGCGGGAGCCCCTGCCTGGGGCGGGGCGGTGGGCGGGGCAGTGGGAGGGGCCGGAGTCCCTGCCTGGGGCGGGGCGGTGGGAGGGGCGGTGGGAGGGGCCAGAGGAGCAGCTGGGGGGCACTGGAGCTCTGGCACTGCCACCCTGGGGTGTTTGAGTCCCAGAGCTCTAGTTACAGGGGAGGGGGGGAAGTAGGGGGACATCGGCTCTGTCCCTCGGGCCTCACCCACCTCCCCCTCCACTGCGCCTGGCCACCAATGGCCGGCCGGGGCCCACACTTGGGGCTGGACCGACCCCCCCCCCCAGTCCCCCAGAAGCAGGTCCTCCTCGGGCCCCCCTCCCCTGCGTCCCATCCCTGCCAGGCCCACCTCTAGCTGGAAGCCACTGCCCTGCTGCGGCCTGCTGCGGCCTGGCCACCCAGACTTAAAGGGGGGGCACAGTGCCCCCTCCCCACCATGGTGCCCCTCAGCACGCGCCCAGCTCAGCTGCCAGCCTCAAAGACCCACACCCGGTGTCCCCAGGACGCCTCTCCACCCCCTGCCTGGCCCCAGCCTTGGTGGCTCTGGGCTCAAGAGGGCCGAAGGGGGGGGTTCTTCCTCCCTCCCTTCCTCCCTCCCTCCCTCCCTCCCCTCAATTCTGCCTCCATGCCCTCATTCCTCACTCCAGGGAATGAGAAGAAAGAGGCAGAGAGCTGGTTCGCGGCCCTAGCTGACTGTGGGCGTCTGCCCAAGGGGATGCCATGCCCCCGAGACCCAGGCCGCATCCCCTGGCTCCACGCAGGTGTCTGTAAACAGCCACCAAGCGAATTCCACACATTGAGGTTAGACATCAGGAGGAACTTCCCAAAGAGAGATTTTTTTTTCTTCTTCTTCTTCTTCTTCCTTCCTAGACTGTATCCAGTTCTGACAACATCAATAAACTGTCTGGGCATGGGTCAGAGGTGGCAGCCTGTGGGGGTGGGAGGGAAGGGGAGGGCCGTGGGGGCCTCAGGAGGGAGACGGTCATGGGGGGGGCCTTTCTGCCTACTCTCCAAGACAAGACTCATGTCTGTTTCTAAAGCTTTTCATCCCGCTAACTGTGAAGTTCTGTCCACCCCCAAGGTGTGGATGCCCCGTCCCTGTGCGGGGAGGACACATTAACAACGTGCCAAAGTCACCTGCAAATCAGGAGCTGAGCCACGTTGGGGAGGGGGGGGGGCGCAGGCCAGGGTGCCCTGCCTGGCGTCCTCTCCCGGAGCGCCCCCTGCTGGGACTCCTGTTAAGGCCAGAGTCCGGCCACCCACTTCTTTTCCTGCAGGGAAGATGGGACTGATGGAGAGCTGAGGATCGAGGGTCTAAGGTTTAAATCCAGCCAGAGCGGGGTAGAGGCGGGGTTCGGGGGAGCAGCTGGGGACCGGCCCGGGAGGCTGGCCCTTCCCACCGCTCCCCAACACAGCAGCTCCTACTGGCTCCTCTCCCAAGACTCCTCCTATAGAAGCTTCCAGCGGCCCAGCAAATGGCCCTCAGCTCCACTTAGATTCCTTCAAAGAAATGGAGCCTGGCAGGCAGAGGCCCAGAGAGAGAGGTCGTGGGGAAGCAGGGCCACGCGGAGCCCCATGGAGAAGGGGCCTGAGCGAGTGGACAAGACGGCCAGATAAAGCGCCAGGGGTCACCGGCTAAACACCTTGCCGGGTTTAGAGATGCGGGCACCAGGGAGGGCTTCCTGGAGGAGGCAGCCTCCTTTGAGCTGAGTCTTTAAGAACATGTAGGTGTACCTGAGTGAAGGGTGTGTGTGGAGGTGTACACATGTGTGCACCTGTGTTTGTATGTATACACCATGTGTGTGTGTTGTACACGTGTATGTATGTATACGTGTGTGTTGTCCAGGAGAGTCAACTAAACGGGTAGCAAAGATTGGAAAAGCGATGGGGCCCAGGGCTGGCAAAGGACTGGCAGTCACCCTTCACCCTGTGGGTGAGGGACAGGTGGACCGGACAAGGGGGGGGACAGGGGCCCGGGGACTGGCCCAGTTCGGGCTTGGAGGACAAGTGCACAAGATGCTGTTCCAGAGCTCACGCCTGTCACCCTAGCCACTCAGGAGGCTGAGAGCTGAGGACCAAGGTTCAAAGCAGCCCAGGCAGGAAAGTCCCTGAGACTCGAACCTCCAACGAGCCAGCAAAAAGCCAGAACTGGAGCTGTGGCTCAAGTGGTAGAGCCCTGGCCCTGAGCCTGAGATCGGGCACAGCGCCCAGGCCCTGAGTTCAAGCCCCCGACCCGCCTGTGTGCGCGGCACTGAGGGGCAGGGGCGGATGTGCGGGCGGGCGTGGTTCTCTGGGGCACCGGGAGGAGATCCGACGGGGGGGGGGGGGGGGGGGGGGGGGGGGGGGAGGCCGGCAGGGCGTGCTGTGGGGCTGGGGGCGGCGGCGATGCGGGGCGGGCGGGGAGCGCGGGGAGAAGGGGCCCCTCCAGAGCCTGGAGCCCGGACGCCCGCCCCTCGCCGGCCCCTCCGCACCCCGGAGCCGGGCCCCGCCGCGCACGGACCCGATCCCGCGCAGCCCGTGGCGGACGGGACGCAGCGGTCCCGGCTGGGGCAGGGGGGGGGGCGGTTACCGCGCCCCGACCGCGCGCGAGTCCGGGCCGCGAAAGGACGCAGCGCCCCCGCCCCGGCGCGAGGGGTCCGGCGAGGTTCGGGGGGGGGGAACCCGCACCCGGCCGAGCCCCGACTTCCAAGCTCCGCGGAAAAGGGGGCGCCCGCCGGGCCGAACGCTCCCCAAACTCCGGCCCGCCGCCGCCCGCGCCCCAGGACCTGCGGACCCGGCGCCCCGCGCTCCGCACCCGGACCCCGCGCCCCGCACCCGGATCTGCGGACTCCGCGCCCCAGGACCTGCGGACCTGGCACCCCGCACCCGGATCTGCGGGCCCCGCGCCCCGCACCCGGACCTGCGGACCCCGCGCCCCGCACCCGGACCCGCGGACCCCGCGCCCCGCGCCCCGCACCTGGACCTGTGGACCTCGAGCCCCGGGACCTACGACCCCCGCACCCCGGTACCTGCGGCTTGTCGCGCGGCCGGTCTTCAAGTTGGGCAGCGCCGCCCGCGGTCTTCCACCGGTCGTTGGCCATCTCCGGGGCGCAGGGGGCGCCGGGCTCCCCGGATGCGGGGACTGCCGGGCTGTGCGGGGCTGTGCGGGCGCGGAGAGCGAGCCGGAGCGCGAGAGCCACGGCCGCGCGGCGTCCCCGCCGCCCGCTGCCCGCTCCGCCCCGCCGAGCCCGCCGCGCTCCGCCCCTGCCTCCGCCCCCGCCGCTCCCGCCGCCCGCCTCCGCTCCCTCCCTCCCGGCAGCTCCCCCCTCCCGCCCTCCCCCCTCCCGCCCGCCCTCCCCCTCCCTCTCCGCCCCCCGCCCGCCCTTCCCCTCCCTCTCCGTCCCCCGCCCCCTCCCCGCGCGCCCGGCTCGGACTCCGCGGCCCCCTCCCCGCGCGCGCGCACGCCGCCGACTTGGGTAGTTGGCGCCTCCAGAAGACCCCGGGAAGACCCCGGTCCCGCCGGCCGCACCCCGGACCCCGGGCCGCGCTCGGGCCGCCCCCGCACGCCGGGGCCGGGCGCGGACTTCCCGGGCGCCCCGCCGGGCCCGGCCCGCGGCTGCCCGACGGCTCCCGCGGGGCCTCGGGGTCCCCGCCGGGCCCGAGCGCGCGCCCCGCGTCCAGAGTCGCCCCGGCACCGCACCCTCGCCTCCCACTTCCTGCCGCCCCTGCCCCCCCCCCCCCGCCTTGGCCGCCGCTCCCCGGTTCCCCGGCACCGTCCTCGGCCCCCTGGCCTGGCGGGAGACGGCGGGGGGCCCCACGCACCCGCAGCGTCACCCCAGCCTCCCAGCGCCACGGCCCGGCGCGACCCGCCAACACCCAGCGGCCGCCCCAGCCCGCGGCCCCGCGGGCGCCGGGCCCAGCGGCGGGACCGGGTGCCCGGGTCAGGAGAGGCCCGAGCCGCAGCTCCCGCGGCAGCCCAGGCCCTTTCCGGAGGCCCTGGGGCCTCAGCAAGCGGCCTAGCGTGCACTGGGCCTGGCAGGTGTGGAGGGTCCGCCCTGGGCCTGGGGCAGAGGACTGCACTCCCTTGACTCAGTTTCCCCACCGTGCTGTTGGTGGGGGGGCATCGCTGCCCCCTTTACAAGGGCTGTGGCGGTTCAGAGGCAGGGAAGGCCTGGAACTTTCCTGGCCTGGCTCTGAGCAGACAGTTGGTGTTTTCTGCCTGCTCCCAGCTCCCCCCTTTGAACAGGAAGCGGGAGCCCAGGTCTGCCATCCCACCGATGCCAGCCGGCAGGGAGCGGGGATGGGAAAGGCTGCACAGAGGAGATGGTTTGAAGTGTGGGTCTGAGGGGGGCACGAGGTGGGACCCGAGGCCTCCGTGAGGTGCCCGGGGCCGGGGGCGGTGCACAGACAGTTCAGGAGGATGTGGGTACCAGGGTCAGAGGAGTTGAGGAAGATGGCAGCAGGCCTGGGGGCTGTCCCAGGCCCACCGAGCGGCCTCTGGCGGGCACCAGGGCCACCTAGCGGCTGCTGCTGGCAGTCCTTGCTGGTGGGTCTTTGCATCTGCTCAGCCACAGGCATGCGAGGTGCGGAAGGTACCGGTGCCAGGGGGCGGGCCTCACCCATCACTGCTGTATGAGGGCCTCTGGCAGGACCCCTGGAGACAACTCGTCATTGTCACAGACCAGCCTGAGCCAGGGAGAGGAGGGAGGGAGGGCTGCATGTGCAGAGGGTGACGCAGAGAACCCCCCACCCCCGGCCCTGAGATCTACCAGGGAGGAGGGTAGCCGGCCCTGTGGGGCAGAGGGTCTGTTCCTCTGCAGCCCTGCCGGAGGCTGGCAGCTCCGCTGTGCTCAGCGTGCAGCCTGGGGCCGGGGCAGCCTTACCAGACACCTCCGGAGGAAGTGTTCCAGTTCAGGGACCTGCCAGGACCCCGGGGGGAGACCAGAACTCAGGCCCACAACCTGCCAGGAGTCAGACCCAAGCTCACCCCGGGTGCTGCTGCCAGTCATCTCCGGCTCACCCATGCAGCCTGTCTGTGCCATAAAGACACCCATGGCCACCTCTTGTTGGGGATTTGTTTGTTTTTCTTTTTTGGGTCCGGTTGTGGGGCCTGAACTCTGGGCCTGGGCGCTGCCCCTCAGCTCTTCAGCTCAAGGTAAGCGCTCTGCCACTTGAGCCACAGCACCACTTTTGGTTTTCTGGTGGTTTATTGGAGATAAGAGTCTCATGGACTTTCCTGCCCGGGCTGGCTTTGAACTGTGATCCTCAGATCTCAGCCTCCTGAGTAGCTAGGACGCCAGGCGCGAGCCACAGGCCTGTCTGGGATTTTTTAGGTGCAGTTCCAGCGAGGAGGTGCTTCAGCTTGTCCTCCTGAGCCAGGTGCATCCAGCCTAGATCATGGAGGGCCCAAGGTAGCTGCCCTGGTCAGGTGGGTGTGGCTGGTGGGAGGGCGTGGCTCCTCCCACCTGAGGCAGGAGGAGGCGGGAGGGGGCAGGGAAGGCAGTGAGGCAGGCCAGGCGGGCCAACATTGGAGCAATGGAAACAAAGATACCCAAGGAAGAGTGGGCGGGGACAGAGGGTGCCCACGTCCCGCCAGCTCTTGAGCCCCGCGCCGGGCACCTGGCGTCGCCCAGCCCCTCACAACTGGGCCCTGGCGTTAGCCCCATTTCGGAAGCTGACCCAGAAAGGTAAGCTGTTCCCCTAATAGTTCCCGCAGTGAAAAGACGCGGTGAGTGCTAAAATGCACCTTGTAGGCCTGTAATCACAGCCGGGAGGCAGAGGGGGGGGGGGGGGGGTGGGGTGGTTCGAGTTCCCCAGACTCCATCTCAACCCGTGGCTGGGCGTGGTGGCCGATGCCTGTCTTCCCCAGCAGTGTGGGGAAGCACAAAGGAGGAGGATCACAGTCCACATATAAAGCAAGAGTACCTACCTCAAAAATGACCAGTGCAAAAAGATGCTAGAGCCTTGGCTCGTGTGGTGCAAGGCCCTGAGTTCAACTCTCCATACCAAACAGATTCTAAGAAGTTCAGAGAGGTTGCCCGACTTCACCCAGCTCCCACAGCAGTTGGAGGCACAGGACCTGATGTGCAGTACCAGGGCCCAGACCTCAGATGCCTCAGTGCCTCTTGGGCTGTCAGGGCTGAGCCGCCACGCAGAGGGGCCTGACACGCGTGGGCTGCATGTCAAGTACATCTGTCCCCAGAGGCCTGGGAGCTGGCCAGACAAGGGGTCGGGACCTCTGGCCTTCCTCTACCCCGCGCTGCCCGGCGCTGCCCGGCGCTCGGCTCTCCCGGTGAAGCTGCTTCAACCCCGACAGTCGCACTTGTCATTAAAAATGAATTTATCTTGGTGGTGGCACGGGAAGGCTCCGTGCGGCGGCGACGCACTCGGCTTGTCACCCCTCGCGTTAGGCACGGCGAGCCGAACGGCGGGGTAGGCTCCGGCGCCAGCTCCTCGTTTTCTGCGGCTGGAGCCAGAAACGCCAGAAACGTACAGCAGGCTGACATTTAATTTACAATCCAACATACCTGACATAAGCCCGGAACACAAAGGCAGAGGCGGGAGGGGCCGCCCAGCCGGGCGGGGGCGGAGCCCCAGAGACAGCACGCCGGTCCTTTCTTTCTTTCTTTTTTCTTTTCTTTTTTCTTGTGTTGCTTTGTCAACACTGAGTAGTGAGGACAGACCCTAGACGGCGATCAAAGGAGAGAATTAGCAGAGAGAGAGAGAGGCAGAATGTGTGCATGTGTGTATCTCTGTACTGACTCGAGCTGCCTGGGTGGGGGGTTTGGGCTCCAGGTCCATCATGAAGCCTCTGATGTCACCAGAGAAGCGCGTGTGGGGCTCAGCCCTCAACGCTGGGGCTGGAAGCCCAGCGATGGCAGCTCACGCCTGTCAGCCTAGCTACTTAGGAGGTTGAGATCTGAGGATCACAATTCAAAGCCAGCCAGGGCAGGAAAGTCCATGACACTCTGACCTTCAATAAACCATCCAGAAAACCGGAAGTGGCGCTGTAGCTCAAAGTTGTAGAGTGCTCGCCTCCAGCAAAAAAGTTCAGGGACAGCGTTGGGCCTTGAATGCAAGCCTCATCACACACACACACACACATACACACACACACACACGCTGATGTTGGAGCTCAGAAGGGCCCCGGTGCCCTGTGCCACACACTGCCACGTACATGTCCCGTGGCGGCTCCCTGTCCCCGGTGCTGACCGGGCACCTCTGAATCACCACCGGAGTGCACAAGGCTGCTGTGGAGGAAGCTGCCCGGAGGCAGCCAGGAGCAGCCGGCCCAGGCTCCACACAACTCTCCCGTTCCTTCTGGCTAGTTCTAATTTAACCTGTGTTTACACAGGCCAGAGGCCACCTGAGACCAGTACAGAGGTGGGAGCCTTGGCCTGTGTGTCCTTGACCTTGAGGATGGAGCCAAGGGTCAAGGAGCGTCCAGGCTAGGATAACAGGCTCCTCAAAATCCTGCACCTCACATTTTAGCATAGGCCCCTGCCAGGTCCCTGTAAGCCTAGCTGCTCAGGAAGCTGAGCCCTGGAGGGTCTGAGTTCAAGGTCAGCCCAGGCAGAAAAGTCCACGAGACTCTAAGACAATCAGCAAAGAAGCAGGATTAGAGGCCTGGTTCAAGCAGCAATACATCACCTGCACAAGCACCAGGCTCTGTGTTAAAACCGCGGGCGCCGGTGGCTCACACCTGTCATCCTAGCTGCTCAGGAGGCTGAGATCTGAGGACCGTGGTTCAAAGCCAGCCCAGGCAGGAAAGTCTATGAGACTCTTATCTCCAATAAACCACTCAGAAAACCAGAAGTGGTGCTGTGGCTCAAGAGGTAGAGCGCTCACCTTGAGCTGAAGAGCTGAGGGACAGCGCCCAGACCCAGAGTTCAAGCCCCACAAAAACAAAGACAAAAAAAACCCCAGTATCATCAAAAAGCAAAGCAACGAAGAAACCAAAAACCCATAAGCCTGTCGACTGGTATTAATTGATGTGCACACAGAATGTTCCAGAAGCCAAGGGCTGAGCAGAGTGTGCTCCACTAAGCCTGACAGGGACCCACAGCCGTGTCTTATTTGTCTCCCCAGTCACGGCCGCGGG